GACTTTTAGGGAGGGTGAAAAGCCCCAAACAAGTGAAGTATCTATGGACAGAAGGAGCTCTCCCGAGTGGCTTGTTTGGTCTCAGCAGCACTGACCTGCACAGAACAAAGGTTGTGGTCTCCAAGTTACAGTTGTTTCCCATGGGATGGCAGGTTTGTTTGTAGCAGGAAAGGAAGGTGTGCAGGCCTCAGCACAAGGATGTTCCCTTTGCTATGAGAAAGGGTACATGTGGCTTCCAAGGCCCCTCCTGAACTAGGAAAATGCAGCCCTTGCACAGCGAAGAGCCAGTGACAAGGATCCGCAATGGCCCTTAAAACCTTCACCTAAAAGAGTGATGTTGCTATTACTGCCAACATCAACACCATCTCCTTCCTACAGCCACAGGGTAACAGTGCTTTGTCGTTATGTGACACTCTGAACTCCACAGGGTTTAATTCTTGTTCCAAGACTCTGCTATCAAGGACTGTATTCCACCCTGCCATTACTTCTGTACATAATTCCTTCATTGAATTTCACCTAAGAGTCAATTTCTCCTATCCACACACTAATTTCCCACTGGTTGCAGTTTGCCTGAGCTAGGGAGCTGGAGGAAAAGCACTGTCCTTTGCAGAAAATAAAAGCATCTAGGCCCACACCATTGAAAGCTGTTACCTGTCAGGGCACCAAGATGGTTATCCTGGAGGCAGGAATCAGAGCCACAGCCTTCCTAAGGAAAGCACTGCCTGCCAAGGACACACACTCTCGAGTCAGTGTTACCTGTCACAGGATCAGCACAGCAGGAGGCATTGTGCCAGACCAAGATCAGGCTAACAGGTCTCTCTACCCTTATTTAAAATAAAGACAGGCTAACAAAGGCTTGCTGAGCCTACCTGGGCGGCACACACTGATCTGAGCTACAGCACGGGCACAGCAGTAAACAGGCAAGTTGGCTCCTGTTCCAATGGAAACATCAGACAAAGTTTAATGGTTCTTAAACAGACTACAACAAAGGCTGCAGGGAAAAACATTTTATTTCCAAGCAGATTACAAAGAGCAGAGAATATAAGAGTAAAATTAAATTAAAAAAATAGTTGAGTGCATCTCTTTAAAATGATTTGTAGTGTGAGTTACTCACGGGGCAAAGCTACTGGAGAGTTCTGAAGGTCACTTTGCAGGATGCCAATCACATGTGCTGTTTAGACCTGGGTCAACACAGGAGGGACAGACAAGACGTATTTTGCATATAGGCTGCACACTCATTATCAAGCGAGGCTCTGGGCTGCAACTGGACCCTGCCTTTCCGAGACATCCCCTCCACCTCGTTTCTCTCCTGCAGTTCCCTCAAGTTCTAGACATGGTTTATTGCTGCTGTAAGTGGGTTCAATCTGCCTCCCCATTCTGATGAGCTCCAAGGAGAAGGAAGAAGCAGGCAAACGTGGCTGCCATGCACAAGGTTATACAGGGAATGCGGCTGCAGTGCTGAGGGCAGAGCTTCAGCCACACAGCAAAGGGAACCGACAAGTAAGGGGGCAGAGCGAGCGCTTCAGAGATTTGGGGGCAGCATGTCAGCGAGACTTCTGGAAGAAGATTTGAGATGCTCCTTAAGGTAGGAAGAGGCTCAAGTGGAGAAAGGCTCCTTCCTATGCATTGGCACCAGTGAAACAGAAGAGGCTGAATCATCAGGATAAGGTGCATTCCCTGTAATATCTGAGAGGAGCAGCTCCAGCAGTAAGATGGGCAGGAAAGCCCTGTATAGGGCGGAAGACAGTTGATATCCCACTTTAACAGTGATTTAAGAGTCCAAACACTAATTAGTCAGTTACTATTAAACTCACACAAGAATGCAGTTTGGCTGGACTGTGCAGAGTCAATCAGTGTCCAGCAGCACTCAGACCTGCAAGAGGATGCACAACTACAGCACCAACAAGTCCCCCACCCCCTGTATGCTGAGAGGACTCTTTTCTACTACTTCTCGATCTGCTCTTACCACAGCATAAGGGGCTTGGGGGCCTCATCCCTACTACTGTAGCAAACAGTAGCCCTGATGCAGCTGAGAACAAGACTGTCTTAATTTCTGCCCCAGGAGCAACAGTGCAGAAGAGGATTCTTATCTAGGGACCAGATTACATATTTTTTTTTGTCCAAGGCAGAACAGTTCATGAACTACTTCAGACCTTGTGACCCATCTAATAAGTCCAGACCTCTACAGGTGAAGAAGCCAACAGATGAAAGCCCTATTAAGTTACTCGGACCATTCCCTTTACTCACCACTCTGGACAGAAGAACCACTCTCTAGTCTGCTCTTTGCTGCTTCAGCCATTACCACTCAGAGGAAATGCTTGAACTCTTGAAAGCAAATGAAAATCTAATGGTGCCATGGACAAGCGTGTAAGAGGCTACAAGTTTCCTAAAGAAAGCAACACTGTTAGTGTCAAGAGCTGGGACAATACATGAATCTCATGTCAGAATGTGAGGTGCTTTACAACAGTCAGTCACGCTCTGATTTCCATGGTTCCTTTCATACCACAGCAACAAGATGGGCACAGTTCAAAACCAACACGGCAGGGTCTCTACCTTGACTTCTCAGCTCTATTTATTTAGAGATCAATGCATTTTCAGCCTGTCTCATACAAGGCATGGGGGCAGGGAGAGTTCCTGTTGAATATATACACGCATACAAGAGCGAGCAGTTTGGCACTCTTGGAGCTGAGGGGGAATGCCCTTGAAGCAGCAGTCAAGCTGGTTATAGGAAAGTGTTAAAAAGCTATTTTACATGTTTGACTGGGAACATTTCCCAGAACTCGGATAGCAACTCTAAGCCATGGTACTCTTCTGTGCTACTCTGTGCACGTATTCCTATGAGCCCCTACAAGGGAGCAGATCATGTTCTTCACTATCAAAGAACATAGTATTTATATTCTAGAAATACTGTACCTTTTAAATTAGCTCCAGAGAGCCAGACTAGAAGCCAGGTCCAGGAAAATAATCCTTAAGTCACAGTATATCGATTGTCTCTAAAAATAGGGAATGAAGTTAACACAGTGGACATTCTGATGAGACAGTACAGAACAGTACAGCAGTCCACTTCCACCTCAGCAGATCCCTCTCCTAGGTACATCTGAACAATGAGAAGTAATGGAAACACCTCAGTCCATCAGGACAAAACCAATCATCAGGAGATCTACACAGCTCACCATGTGCCAAGTTTCCCTGTTACTAATTGGTATACTCCAGGGTCAAGGAGAACTCTTCCCCTACAAAGACTTTAGATCATCCTGCAGTTAAGGGTGGTAAGGAAAGTGCACAACCTAAAATTTTAAGGTAACGTGGAATTCTGTTTCCCCAGAAAACACAACTGAAGTACCTGTTCATCCCTAATCTGCAACTACCCTGATGTTCTGTCATGTTATTGCAGCTTCTGGCAACTCTTAGAGTAAGAGGTGACTCCCAAGGTCACCTAGTGAAGCAACTGGTACAGAGGGTATCTGGCAGATGGTTCAACACCCACTGCACTTCTGACAGAGACAGCCAAGGCAGGAGACTTTGCAACTCTGCTCAGAAGATGGGACAAACTGCCCAAAAGAATGGGAAATCCACTCCTGCAGGCCTGTTGGGGACCTTGACCAACAGGCACATGCAACCGCTTGAAATAGCGGGAGCCTGCCCCAGCAATGTCCTTAACCTCTTAAATTAGGGCCAAAGATGGACATTCCAGTCACTAAGATATGGTGAAGGGATTAGAGGATTCTGACAGCTGAAGCACTGCTGATGATCCCAACAGCCACTCTGCCAGGGGGCAGTGCTGGATCCCAGCAGACAGCTGCCAGCACGACACACTACCCAAGCACCATCTTTGCAGTTCACCCACTGGGACCTGGGCACCAACCCCAGGCTGTTTTCCCCTGGCCTACCTCTGAGGGCAGACACTGAGCTAAGAGTCTAAAGTAGAGTGCAGGTTTCACAAAACAACAGTGCATTGCTACTTCACCTCTCTGCACTTATTTGAGCACAGAGTCCTACAGAGGGAATATACTGCTCATACTGACAACTAACTCGAGCACGTGGGCCTCCTTGGGAACACCAACGTCAATACGAAGCATCAAGGGCTTGGGAAGTCTCTCTAAGCTTGCACGCCTCAACACTGCTCACGAGCACAAAGACAGGGAACGTTATGGCTACTCTCATTTACACTGTGCACAACCAACAGAGAGGGCAGACCTTCCTTCTCAGTACAGACAGGTACTGGTCAGCAGAGGCTTCAGAAAAACTGCTTGCCTGTACACAAGTTGAAGTTGTTTTACTGTAATATATATTTAAGTATTTACCTATGTATTTTGGAACAGGTAAGGGACATGAGGTGGAGAAGCAGGGAAGACAAGTTCAAGAAGCAGGGAGTCATCTCTCTGCATCCAAGAAGCTGGTGGCACAAATAACAAGCCTGGTAAGTGATCTCCCATTTCAAGCACAGTTGGCTACCCGCTGGGTTCAAAAGAGCAGACTACTTGTTAATGATACAAAATATCGCAACCATTTAAGATGCAGCAAGGCAAGGCTACAGGGCTGGGGTTTATGATCATGAACGATGCCAGGAGCTACACAGCTGTATTAAAAACTGTGAAAAGGCTGTTAATAGCAGGAGTAAGCCATATGCTGCTCCTGGAAGGCCTTTTCCCTCCAAAGCCCCTCCATCATGCCGTTGTTGTGATGTATTTGAAAAGGAGAGGGGGATTTTCCTAGGGGTAAAGCCACAGAACATGAGGACACTCTGATCTGGTCTCACAGATCCCATGTTCCTAGCCTGGCACTGAGCTTCCATCAGCAAGCAGACACTCAGGTCCTTCAACAGAAGTTTATGCCCTTCAACCTTCAAAATTTGTAGGGGTGAAAGAAGTCCAGCAGAGCTGAGCTGGAAAGCACAAACAGGGATGAAAACAACCAGTTTGCATACTGATCTTTGTATAATGACCCCCCCACCCTCACAGCTCACTCTTCCCCAAATAAAGACACATTGTTCAATGGCATGTTGAAAAGACGTGCTCGTCATTCTTAATAAACAACTAGAGTAAGAATACATAAGAGAAACAGGGTGGTATCTTTATATGATACACAAGTGTATGTTACAAGAATTCCATCAGGCACAGAAGCCTCAAGGTTTAAGGCCTCAATGTTAGGCCAAAAAAGAAGAGTGTGGTAAAGTTTGTACTTTTAACATCTAAAAATGTCACTTAAAGGTCTGAATAGAAATTGTTGGTTTGTGGTTTTTTTGTATAAATCATAATTGCAGTTCACTCTCTCCTCTTTCTTCCAAGATATCAGCAAATTAACGTCCAAGCACAAGAAAAGAAGATGCCTGCCTCTCCTCCACTGGCTGAGCAGGTCCATCCATCATTCTGTGCCCTCTAGGCTGCACGTGCTCCAGGGAGACAGAGGCCCCGGCCAACCAGGCCAATCCTGTAGTTCAAATTTTCTACATCATAAAAAAAACCCAGAGTCAACCAGCAGCTTTCCACAGCTCCCAGCTTGCAGGGGATATGCAGCCTCCAATGGTTCCAACAGTTTGGTGTGTTGGGTAGGATACACAATGGGTAGGTTTTCCTTTAGATTCTTTTAAAGAGAAGAAGCCTAAAAGGGCTTCATAACTACACCAATAAAAAACCAAAAACTTAGGCATCTCCTTTAGTGTAAAAGTCTGTACAATTTCTCTTTGCTTGTCCCTCCCCCATCACCCTGCCCCACCCCTTCTGAGCCACAAAGGATGCCTTAGTGCATGGTGCTGGCATTAGCCACGGCAAGAGCTTCCTGAATCTCTCGTATCACCAGGATCCGGGTGAGCATCTGCTCCATCTGCTCTCTGCTGATCGGCTGGATGGAATACCAGATAGGGCTGTTGGGGGCCACCACCGGCTCCGGTGTCAAGTAAAACGTGTCATTCCGGCCTTTCACACTCTGGGGGCTGCGTGAGGAAGATCAGAAATAACCAGACTAACAGAATGCCCTAGAATGAAGAGACCACCACTGTCCTCACCCCAGGCTTCACAAATCCTGACAGTGAATATCTGGCTGATGAGATATAAAGGTACAGAGTTACACCTAGGGACAACATTGGTCCCAAAGTTTTAGGCCATGACAAGCTTAAAAAGCCATGGTGATGACTACAAGAAAGTAATTTTTGTTTCACACTGGTAAATATAACACACACATGGCTTCAGGGGTCTTTCAGAGTGAAGCAAGGATGAAGTATTTTCACATTCAGGCTACCTGCAGACCCATCTGTGCAGAGGAACCTTTACATTAAATATCAGAATCATCACAATTTAGAGGTGAGTCCTTTGAGCCTCTCTCCAATCTCTGTAGCAAGTCCTCATTTTTGTTGAGAAGCTAATTTGAATAGAACCCTAATCTCATCTCCAGTAGTGGATGCTCCAGGATGACTTGCAACTCATAGGCAGAAGAGCGAGCTCATGCCAACACTGCAAACCTCCAAATATAAGATTAGGAGCAGCCAGTTCACAAATCAGGATTTGTCTCTTAAATACCCCAGAAGTTCAATTTACATGCCATCCGAGTAAACCCCACCCTCTCACATGAACACTCTCCCCATTTAAGTAAATTCAGTCAAACACAGAAACTGTGCCAGCAATAACACACAGTCCTGAGAACTAGGCCAGCCACAGGGTGCAGTTCCCCAGTCACAGCAGACAAGCCCCACACACATGGACAAGAGCTCTCACCATTTGAAGAGGTAGAAGTCATACAGCTTTATCGGACACCTCAGGGGGTTCTCTGGATTCTCGGTCTGCTCTGCATACATGTCATCTGTAACTACAAACCAGCCCCCCAGAATTGTGTCAGACTGTGTAAGCACAGCACACCGAGCATAGTACTGTACAGCCTCAGCACTCTGCAGCACCTTGTCACCATGCAAGAGCTGGCAAGAAACATATGGCTGTTCCAGGGCAGAGGCACCTGGCTGTAAATGCTCAAAGCATTATATGGAGAGCTTGCTTTATCTCAAGGCTACTGAAGTTCACAACCCATCCATATCCTTCTTTGCATTTCTCCTCTACCAGTGCCCAAAATGAGGGAACTCTCTCTGAGACTGCAATACCTCAGCTACATCGTGTGCTTTTAAGAGGACAGATTGTACTTACATAGGGGTTCTGTATGGGTTCACATGAATCAAGGTAAGAGAAGCCCTCCCAAAGAATTTTCTCCGTATCTTCACAAGCACTTACACCCAATAGGCTCTTTGCCCATAAAAAAACAAAAGTAACAAAGAAGTTATCCTTAGTTCTTGATGAGTCCCATATGCCTGAGGTAAGGTATGTCCCCAGGCTTATGATTAGAAGGTACTATGCTCTCTTGAACCATAATACACAGAAAGCTCAGACTGCCAGGCTGAAGGTAACTGTCAGAGCCTTGGATTCCCTACCTGCAAACATCTCCAGGTTCATCCACTTCTTCAAGCTCAAGTAAGTAAAATATTCCCAAAGAAAACTCTTAGACACTACCTTTCTGTCCTGTCTGGTGCATGCCTGGAGCCTTCATATAGCGGATACTCGTGCTTTTATCCTTGGGATTAGAAGGGTTCTTCTTGGTCTGCCTCAGCACCTTGGAGAAGGCCAGCTTCATGTGCTGGTCTACTGTTTTCAACAGGAAATATCTGAGCAGCAAGAACAGAGCACAGGACATTCAGTGGCAAGTAAAGGATACAGTCATAACAGCAAGGTAGTTATGTTTAATTATTGTGAGCAGGCTGAAACTCAAACCAACCACTGAGTTAAAGACTTTTTCAGCAGCAAAGTATGCAACAGCCACAAATTCAGTTTGCTCTCTGCTAGCTCACTTCCTTGTTGTACTGCATCTTCTTTGCCTGATGGGGCTGCAAGAGGGCTCTGTGTGCAACTATTCTAAACTCGTAATTTCACCCTGATTCAGTGCAGCAGTTCCCCACCAACCCTGTCAAGGCGTCTGAAGTTCTTTTATTCCCCAAGATTCCTAAAGACTTAAGTACTTACTTTGTATTGAAAAACATCAGTGTAGTGAGCAAGGTGGAAGGGGAGTGAGCTCCAAGCTGCTTACACTCCCACAGCATTTCCTCTGTTACGTGACTGGAGAGGATGTAACCTGCAATAATCAGAGGTCAGCATCACGGCAAGACACAGACACAGCATGAACACAGGCAGCATTTTATAGTCTGCAAGTACTGAAGAGCATATAAATCTTAAGGGAAGGAAGAGGAGAAGATTCTTACTGATGTCAAGATTCACTGCTGTGCAAACAACTTTTTAAATAGCAGGTACAGTTAGGAAACACTCGTATACATACATCAACCTCTAGCTGCAGAGAGTGTGCTTCTGCAATACGCCTTTACATCCCAACCCATAGAGAAACAAATACGCACTTTAACAGCTTTTAATTAATGGTTCGATTCCAATGCAGATGCTCTTAATCCAATAATATGTGAGAGCAGGCAGGCCAGTGTAACAAATCAGCTCTTGGCCTTGTGCACAGCTTTAGTCAGCACACAGTGCCAAGTGATGCATTTGGACACATGAGTAATCCTTTGATTCTCAGATATTTTTTTTTCTTTTGTGTAGAAGAGAAATACTATACTCCAAATACACAGATATACAGAAAAACAGACAGCACTATGAACTCCAGGGCTTGTGGAATGACAAAGCACAGATCAAACAGCCAGAGGGAAAACAAAAGGATTCCAAAACTCATGGTGCTACTTAGTCATCTAGCCTGTAAACATCAGCTACTTTTCTGAACACAAGCAATAGCTTCTTCACTGATGTCCAATCAGATCAAAGGGAATGAAGCAATGAGAAACCATGTTTCCATGCTCTGAAAATGCAATTCTTGATCTAGTTGTCATTTGCAACTCTGTCAAAATCTGTCTCCTCCGGAACTGCCCTGCCACCCCCATTGCCATCATCTCCTGAACACAAGGTTGAGCTGCAACTGATTGCAGCACTGGAGGCTCTAATCACTCATTGTTTTTTTCCTTTGACACTCAGTTGGTCCTGCAGACAGTATCCATCTGGCTCCATGGCACCATGACAGTGCTGTATTATCTCCCAAAGTAACAATACATATTAGAGGCAAGATGTACTACCACTTCAGATGAGGAATCTTGGTTCAAATCAAGGATCAGCTGGCTTCCAAGTAGGCCAATCTCATGACACACAACAAAGTCCCAAAAATCTGCCTTCTGACAGGTGACAAGTGACAGAAAATAATGCTCAACAACAGTCAGGGCTAGAGCCTGACAAGTGCAGTAAACCCAGCATTCACTAAAGATGCAACATTTTTCTCCATGACTAGCACGAGCTGCCCTAGAGACAGAAAATACTTCAAAAGGGTTTCTATTCAGACTACACTCAAGAGGTAGGTTCAGTTTAAACATTCCAAACTCTGAAAGTTTTTAAGTTCTTAAACAAAAGTCCTTACCAAGAGGTGAAACACGAGGCTGTATGTCCTTGAGAACTTCGTGCAGCCATTCAGTGAACCGAATATAGTAGAGATCAGAGAAGATGTCATCGACTCGGCCATTTTCAAAGAGATACTGTAAGAGATTCACAACACAGTCCAGTACAGTGGGAGCCAGTGTGTTCCTCTGACCAGACCTTACAAGGGCCATGTACGCAGTTAGTCAAGTATGTTACAGCAGAGCACTGAAGAATAATACATTTTACTTGAAGAGTGAGGACTGTTGCACCAAGGCCAGTACAGGGTAGGTCATCTCAATTACTACCATGGGAATACCAAAACAGAAAAAGGAAAAAACATCTTACAAAGCAAAGCTGTTTGGATTTCACTTTTCATGTCAGGTGTGTTCAGTCCAAGTTATTTCACATGACTGTTCTTTGGACACCGTTTTTTCAGTTTATTGACAGAGATGCTCAATTCCCCTGTCAGAGTCTATCTCTGTTCCTGCAGCTTTTCCAGAAAGCACTCTAGCATTACCAGCTCAGATTTCCCACACCACACAAAGCTAAGTTCTTGCCTGTTAAAACTTCAACTAGATTAGATTTTGACATTGACAACTTCTTCAAACATCATCCAACACTCCTCCTCCCGTTAAAAATATTAAAAGGATTTATTATTCTCACCATGATATTGAACTCGATTATTAACAATTCAATTATTACAATTTCACTCATAGGTGAAAGCACTGCTGTGCTCTAATGACAAGTCATCTTAGGTTTGTTTTGTTTGGTTTTTTTTAAGCAGAGAGACTTTTTTCATATAAAATTGTTGGAAAATTTAATAGAAGTCGCAGTCTCCATTATCATAACCAAGACTCCTCCCTATATATGCTGACAACACACACAGCCCTGCAGCACATAGAGGTGTCCTCTCCTACCTTCTGAATACACAGGAAGATATAGTAGAGCACATCTGGATCGTAGGGTTCACCATCACCATTTCGAGCTTCTCGTGTCATTAAGCACAGACCATAATTCAGCTCAGCCACAGCTGAAGAGATGAGATCTTCCTGGAACCTCAGCAGCTGACGCCCTGGAAAAACAAAACAAAAGCTGTATTATTTAAGCCATAAAGCTATATTATTTCCCAATATCTCAGGAATGATTTCCCACATCTCCAGCTTCCTTGTTCTATCTAGCAGGTCCAGTAGTACCTCATTCCCCCAGTACAGTAAAGTAAGCTCAAATAAATCAAGACCTTAGGCTGTCAGATCTCCTAAAAGATAAAACAGGCAAGAGTTTAACACAAAGATCCTCTGCCCTGCCAAAGACATGACTATTGCCTTCTATTACCATGTTCACAATGAAATGTTGCCCTGCAGCAACATGAAAACAGCAACTCTGTGACTGCTCTACCAGCTTGGCTGGCATTCACAGCCTGTTTGTTCATCCATGCACCCCACTCCTGCAGTGCCTTTTTTGACTGCTACCAGGTGCTCAAGGGGGCTCAGCACTGAGCTAATATCTCCCTTGAGACATGTCCTGTGGCAGTGGGAGTACACCATAATTAGTATTGCAGAGTAAATCAAAGTTTAGATTTAAAAACAACCACTGACTAAACAAAAGTGTTTTCCAGAGTGGTAAACACCTAACATTTTAGTCATTCCTAATCCTACTTGAAAGGAAACAAAGGCCATGTTGGCATGACACTTACTTCCAATAGGTGCTAGTCTATTCTGAGCTTCTTTTTCCAGCTCTGCATTCTTGGTCTGTGCCCAGCTTTTCCACACTTCAAGACCTTCCTCTGGCTTCAGAGAGTTTGGAAGTAGAAGTTCAGGTGAAGTCTGCGGCTGTGGCTGTGGTTCAACTTCAGCAACCTGAACAGTTTGAGCCTATGAAAGAAAACACTTCAGTTTACATGCACCCACTTCAATGTGCAACAGTTGGACAAAAAACAAGCAATGCCACAATTATCTCTAGCCCCAGGACACCAGCTTTCTGCCTCACTCCTCTCTAACAAAAGGAGTTAACTCAAGGAATGCAACTTTTGCTGTCCAACCTGAATTGCTGCTCAAAAGAGTACTCTACTGTCCAAGAACACTTTTAGTTTGAAGGAGCACATCTTTCTTCAGTTAACTCGTCACACTGAACCACCACTGAAGTCCACCTCACTACAAGAGTGGCCCACGGCCCCTCACAGACACAGCAGCTGCAGAGACCGCCAGCCCTGGCAGGGATGAAGAGGAAGGTGCCATCAGCTTTTCTAAGCACTGCTGCTCCACACCTGGACTGCCCTGAGGAAGGTTTGGGGTATATGGCTGTACATATGCTGTACACGGCTGGCATCCCTCCCCACTCAGGCTCTCTTTCACTATACAGTACATAACAGGCACACAGAATAAATACACTCTGTTCTTATCATCAACAACAGATAAGATTAATTCATTTGTAAGAGATCTAAAGCAATTAGACTAGAACACCAGCATCAAAACATCAATTAAGTTGCAACACGATGTTCTCAAAATACCAAATACTGGTACAACCCTCTATTGTGTGAATACACAATATGTGTGAATACAACCCACTATGACTGATTACAGACCCTAAGACATCTCCACACCCTTTGGAAGTTTACTTTGCAGCATGACCTTAGGTCTCCGAGAATTACTACCTCAAACTGAAACTTACTTGCCAGGCAATCAATGGCACCAATCCAAAACCAGCAGTGAGCCCTCCAGCTGCACCCACTCTGCATTCTTCACTACAGCTTCTCAATTCCATGCCACAGAAAGTGTTGTGGCTACCTCAATTAAGGGCTTTACAGACCTTAGTCAAGCTCTCACTAGCATGCTGAAAGTTACAGAGATAGCAATTCTTATATCAGAACAGTTTTGCTTTCTTTCTTAAAAGCTACCCCAAAAAGAAACTTTTCCTTTGATACTGCCAATTGTCAATATTAGTGAAAATTGTTCTGACAGCACTAGAGACCAACAAAAATGGCACAGAGACTTTAAATACCTGTACCTTACTTAATATAAACAAACCAACCAACCAAACAGCTTAAGAGGCAAAGTCTGCCACAGAATCTCAAGACTGGAGTTTTCCAACTGCCTATGGCTGGCTTTTCACTCTCTCCATCAGCTCTTACTAGCTTTTTGCTTACCATCCCCTGCAGCAGCAGTGTGTAGCACAGCTGCAAAACCTGAGAGGACCCAGCTTTAATCAAGGCAGATGGCGACAAAGTTTAAGTTGTGAAGTAAAGCCTCTGCCTTAAGGAGGACAGAGTCCAAGGGTGAACTGACACCTCGTGGTTGTAGGAGCCAGGACTGAGCCTCTGCTCCCCTCCAGAATGGTGCTCCATTACTCTCCTGAGAGCTGAAAGCTTCCCAGAGCCAAGCACCTCCTTCAGCCCAACCCAAGGGACAGTGTTTTGCCCTGACCTCACAGACACCTTGTCCAGCATGAAGGCTGGACACAGTCTGGAGTTAATATGACAGTTGTTTCTTAACAGACTTATATTTTTCACAAATACAGCAAAATAGCTGCAACTTGCCCAGACTCCACAAAAGCACAATGCCAGAGGACAGTGCAGGGCAGGCAGGCAAATTCCTTCTCAGTTTCATGGACAGTTTTTTTTCCCCTCTCAGTTTTGAGAGGGACAACTCCCAAAAGTCTGATGTTCACCTATAGTAGCTTTATTAGCCTCTTAGAGTGCAGCCCTTATGAAATAGCCTCTGTATTTAGAGGCTTATGCCACACCTCACACAGTACAGAACTGGGATCAGAAAACTGTCTGATACCCAAGAATTGCAGACCACTGTACACAGGAATACACAGCATCAGCAGAAGCTTTACAAGTAACCATTGAAGAAATTATGGAGCTAATACCTCAGAAAGACTCCTAAGAATGTGGCTCATGCTCTTAAAAGACCCTACAGTAAGTCTAAAAATCTTATTTACAAGAAAGGTAAAAAGTTCTATCAATTTAGTTTGTTTAAGCAACTGTAAGTGATGAAGTGATCTCTGAATTACCCATAAGGGGAAGAGATGAATTACAGAAGGCTCTTTGAATGTGACAAAACAAACAAACAAAAACCCAACCACAAAACCCCCCATGCATTACAAGATCCATAAGCTGTGGCTTAAGGTACAGCTTTAGAAAACAGGGCATCCAGGATATGAAAGTTATCTAGAGCTGCAGGGAACCCTTTTTGGTGAAGACCTTGGTGGGCTGTAGGCCATGATCAACTTAGAAATGATCAGACATGACTACAGCAAGCAATCCTCCTTGTCTCAGTGCTTACTGATAAAGCAGATGGCACAGGCACCTTTATAAAGCCAACAATGCTATTTATGAACTGGAAAGAATTTGTGCCAACAGGTGTGCTAGCAGGCTTGGGTATTTTTGCCCTCATCTCATCCAGCAAAAAAAGGCTTTGACAGATCAATCACTTTTCACTTTCTGGTAATAAAAAATAAGTTACATCCATTTGCACATTTAAGAGAGACCAGTAATAGCCCCAGTCATTCAAGTTTTAAAAGTCAGTTTGAAATAATCTGTGGCTTAAAGTTGGCAACAAAGCCTTTAAAAAACACCAACAAATTAGGCTGCCATGTTTGCCACAGACTATGAAGAGGTGTTTCCTTGCCACTGCTAGTTATTGTGCCCTTGAACAGCAGGCATTTACTAGAAGCAGGACATGGTGTTAGACAGCTACACTTGATCCAGGAAGTTTGCTCACGACCAGTCAGATTTCGACACTTTAGCTGGGCACTGGTCCCACATAACAACAAAGTAACTGATAACTAGATGACCAGTATATATTTGCACACCTTATTTGGCTGCAATCATCCCTGCCTGTCCACTGCAACCTCTGAAACAGCTCAGGAGAATACTGCAGACCTGCTATGAAGAAGCTGGCAATGAGCAGGTATCTATTTATTTACACTACGAAGATCAAAACTGTACTTTCTCTTGGGCAGTTTTGAATCCTATAACTGTGTACCAACAGTAACACATTGCTGCATTCTTACACCTATCAAGTACCCTGTGTCATGCCCAGGCTACTGGGACAATCACATCTCTGCTTTCCAGACACCAGCTGTCTGCTGATATGCTCCCTCTCCACCACATTTGCAAGTTGTAATCACAGACCAAGAAGCAGTTTTAACTTACTGAGCAAGTAACTTGTAGCTGCTGCTGCTGCCCTTGCTCTTGGGGTGTGGGTTGCTGCTGTTGCTGCTGCGGGTCCCATATGTGCACCGTCTGTGCCGTGTTCTGGTATGTCCCTGCCACAGCCTGCACTGCCACTGGAATGTGGATGTTGCCATTCATAAACTGTGCCGGAAAGATTGAATTAGCAAGAGTCTGCACCACTTCCTCGTGAGAGTTCTTCACTACTGAAGTGCTTCCCACCATCTTATCCTTGTCATCTTCCAGCTTCACGGTAGCCAGTGTCGTTGGTGAGCCACTGACATGGACGGCGTTGTAGGCCTCCTGAGGGATGGCAATGTGGGTTATGTTTTGCTGCTGAAGGTCACCACGTGGCTGAGCGGAGTAAACAGGGATGGTCCAAGTCTCTCCAGTGGGGCTAGTAATGGTCCCAGTGGCACTGTACAGGTGGGCACTGTCCACTGTTAACAAGTCTGGCCTTAAGGAGACGTAACTTTGCTGCTGGCCCTGAGGAATGGCCAGCACTGTGGCAACCGGCTGCCCTGAAATAGCATATGACACAGTAATAGGCATATCCACTTTACGTTTCTTCACTGGCTGAAGGACACTGGCAGAGCTGATCCGCCTCTCTCCCTCTCGTGGGGAGCCTTGTTGAGAAGGTGGAGGTGACAGTGCCCCGACTGTTTGGATCTGTATCTGCTGGCCACCGGTAATGGCCTGTCCTGCCACAAGCTGGGCCTGGATCTGCTGGTGTTGTATGTGTTCCTCCTGTAGCTCCGCAGCCTGGATCTGCTGGGCAGTCTGCACATGCTGCACTTGGATCTGAGCTGCCTGCAGCTGCGATGGGCTGGGGCTCTGAAGAGACTGACTCTGTATTGTCTGGGATGCCTGCTGCTGAGCCTGGCCTTGGATCTGCACTTGGACCTGTATTGGCTGCTCCGAAGCCTGATGGACAGAGAGCTGCGGAGAGAGCTGCTGGGCGGAGACCTGCTGCGGTGACTGCTGGACCTGGACCTGAACCTGCAACGACACCAACCAGCAGTTAGACATCAGCAAGCATCAGCGATTCAACAGAGACGGTCCATCACTGAAGACTTACGCTCCACATCTTTTATGCTCACTTTTATGATTCCATATATTAATCCATTAGTAAAGATCTCAGGAAAATGAAACCAAGTTATTCCAGAAATGCCTGGCTGATAACAGCAAGATGGTAGATGTGTTTGCTCAGCATTGCACATGACCACACTTCTAAGCACAGACAGAACAGTACATGAGCTACATCTCCACCCTCAAAGCTCTGTGGGCTCAAGCCAACAGATTGCATCCTTGGAAGCCAAAAGAGTCTTCAGATTTATCTGTATTGCTAAAATGTTACTTCAGCACAGGCCTTGCAACAGCAAGACTTTAAGGTCACACACATTACAATGCAGGAGCTCACCTCAGGCTTCCCATGCTCTAAAGATTGTTGTATTACTTCCCACCCCGGTCCCCAGACGGATGCAGGATCACTTGCAGGCAGTAGAAAATATGGGTAAGTTGAAGACAGCCCTTGGCTCTTTCTACATAAAGCACAGGAATATTACCTCTAAACCAACCACTAATAGTAACGCTACGCAAGCAGGTGTCAACACAGAAGGTTGCAAGTTCAACCTCAATCTTTGTCATGCGCTAAGGGCCAACACTGCAGCATTTGTTTTTTAAACTTCAGAAGTATTTTTTGGAAACTATAATTAAAATCAATCTTTTTTTTTTTCATTTACTTATTCCATTTAATACCATTTATTGTCCAAACTATTCAGTTGTATTTTCTAGCTCATGCACTTACACAATGCTGAATAAAACAAACAAAACATATTGACTTGATTCCAAACCAGTTCCTTTCATTTTAGGGTAAAAGAAATAAATCACACCCTCTCACATCAATAGTCATTTGTCCAAGGTCTGTCACAATATCTAGCAGCAGCTCAGGGGTAGACGCAAAGCCAGGAGTCAGAGGTAGCCCCCACGCCCAAAGTTCAAGTCTCAACTGCTTCACATCCCAGGCCCCAAACCCAACTCCTCTGGTATCTTCACTCCCAGGGTGTTGAGCTCTGAGCTCTGCTCTCCTTGTCCAGACACTTCTCCACTATGACCCTCATGTTTACACAGACAATTCGTCATACCTGCCCTGTCCTAGAAGTGATATCCCAGGTTCCCATGATCATCTGCTTCTCCAGGCTTCATTAACACCTTATCCTAAGGGAGGGAATTAATTACTCAACAACTCTCTCTGGAGCCAACACAGACTTATTTAGTTGCAAAACTACGTCTTCCTACTCACAGTCTCTCACCTTTTTCCACCTCACTCCCTGGAGTTGATCAGGCTAATGCAGCATTTGCACAGAGATGCCACGCTAGTAGCCAACCTGACAATACTAAAAAGAACTGCCATGCAGGCCTGCATTGCACAGAATGTCACTTCCCAACATCACCTATAAGAAGTCTTGAAAAATGTTAAGGATTCAATTTACAGCCAATTTCAGTCAATTGAAGAGCTGCTAAGGAAAAAAGTGGGGTAGAAAAATGCAACACTTGTGGGCCAATTTTATAAGTCATCTCCTCTTAAGAACTAATTTATTTCCAGGAAGAATAGGGTACAGTTCCTTCTGGGAACTACATGCAGTATACTGTAATCCTGATGATGTGGACTATCTATAAAAATTTCCTCCAAGGTAACATGAAACATGTAACCTTATGTCAGCATGACAGTTTAAAAAGCTGCATCAATTAGTGATGTGATCAGGCAGTTAATTGAAAAAGAAAAGTCATCTATGAGATGTTTCCTCCATTCTATTTGATATCATACTGCCTTGCAGCATGAGTACTGCCTTGGGCAAACAGGCTCAAGCATGGATCCCAGGTAAGAGTTAAGTTTAAGGAAGCCATTTGCAATCACATCCCTAAGGCAAGTATTCTCTAAAATATTCAATTTAAAAAAATTACTAATATAGTCCTTAGTACTAATTTAAGTCCTTGTTCAAAAGATTACCTGCAAGGCAAAGGTCAAAGACTGCACAAACTAAATGAATTACTGTACTAATTTATTTTCAGTTTCAGACTTAATGCATTACTGCACTGATTTATTTTCAGTTTCAAACAAGAAACACTTGCTTTACCTGCTAGGATTCAAAATCACAGAAACAGGCAAACATGGCATTTGCCCTGTGCTTCTGTAATGCTTTCAGAATATGCACAGGTTGACTGAGAGCACCTTAAAAGTACCCTCACCTTCTTTCCATATACAATTTTACATTACAGTTCCTGTTAGTGCCATAGCATATATAAAGGAAATAAGTTTTTTTCTGCTAGCAGTAAGAATTCAAAGTCTGCTCCTGCACTGACACAATTTTATCACATAAGTGCAATTAGAACGGTAACGGAATAGATTAAAGCAAGAGGCATTGTCAGCAAGAGGCCTGGTCTAAGAACAAATGCCACAAGAGAGCATTTGCTCCCTTCTGCTGTTGTCAAAGAGACTGTTTCAGTTTGAAGGGACTTACACTGATCATCTTGCCCAACTGCCTGACTGCTCCAGGGCTGACCAAACAGCTCTGCTGTTAAGGGCCTTGTCTAAATGCCTCTTAAATAAGGACAGGTCTATGATACTCCCCAGGACTAAATCCTAACTCCTACAACTGGGATGTCTTGCTAATGCTTTAGAGCCAACTCTGTTATTGTTAACACCCAGAGAATGAGTTCAGACCCAAACAAGATGAATAAGTCAAATTCTAGAATCACCTGAAGTTCTCCGTGCTGCAAACTGCAGATATCATGCTTCTGACGAGAGGCTGCTCCTATTTAAAAGGATATTGGAGCTTTACCTACCATGCATTACACATCCCCTGTGAATTACATCCATTTTTAACAACTGTATCTTGCAGTAAATCCCTCTCTGTGTTCAAGTAGGTTGTACCCAGGAGGACTACAAGCATTAATTTCAAATTTACAAGCTTCACCCAGTCTGAGACCAGAGCTTCCTACACTGACCTCATTGTCCTTTTTAACTCAGATAGTGAATTAGACAAAGAATTACACTAAATATCAGCAGCAGATGATTTTTTAAAAGACTCTGTACAAAGAGGAATGTTTTAAATTTACAGGCCAAGACCAACAGGGAGGATCTTAAATCTTCACTTTATGCTCAAGATTAAAGCAAAAATGTTATGCTCAGAATTCCTGGGTTATACTGGTGCAAGAGAGAAACATGCGAAGTTACCAGTATTGAAAAATTACTTATTGCCAGAAGTCTGGATCCAGCAGCATGAAAAGAATCACTTCCCAGCAGGCTACCATCACAAAGAAATGCCTTTTCACCATAAAGTAGCTAGAAGCTGGATCAAGTACTAGCTGACTAGAGAATCAAAAGCATTAGAAATCAGCCCTGTATCGTAACAGGAGGGCAGAACTAAATTTTTAAGATTCCCTTAAAGGAAATCTTCTGTCACATTAAGATCAAAAACATATTCTTCCTCAACTGAGCACACACAAAGAGTCAGTAAGTAACCCCACGAGCATGAGAACAGCTGAAGCCTGGTTGCCAAAACTTTTTTCCTCATGGTTGATAGACAAACTTTCAAGTAGGATTCATAACACATCTGCCCTGTGCAGATTCTCTGCCCAAAAAGGAATCAAACTGCAGAACTGCAGTCCTGAAACAACTGAGATTTCCTTTGCTTGGTAATCCCTTCATCTGTGGACTTGACTGGATGACCTAACTCCAAATGAGCACGTACCAACTCTTTCCTGCGAAGACTTTCTGATATCCAGCTCGCCCTGGAGCACCTGGCATGCTCTTGAATTCTTCTTTTCACAAAGAGATCTTGGTTTCTGAGGCTACATTTACAGTATCAAGTGGTAGTACACACCAAAAACAGACCTCAGAGCAAGACTGAAGACCTATTAACAATGTCCACACTATACATTCCAGAAGACTATTTCAAATTTAGGTCTAGTCTTGCCCACTAGCCAACCTTGACAAACATCGAGACACAAGATCACATCTTCCAGCTTATTTTGTCTGGAGGGAACCCCAAGTGACAGGCTCCAAACCCACAACAGGCAAGAAGGGGCAGGTGGCCAACTTCCTATAAGAAGTATGCTCCAAATCCCCCCCAGAAGTAATGTGGGTGCATCTCAAACTTCCCACACAAAGTCAAACACTTGGACAAAAAGTTATGAGAGTGTGAGAAGAGCAATCTCAATTTTTTTTAGCCCAATTTAAGGACAGAAGGCTTAAAACACACTTCCTTCAACAGTCTCTAAGCTAAAGAGAATCCAGCACTAAAAACTAACACTGTAACAATGAAATCCTTCTAATGTTACAGTAGAAAGTGTATGTGCAAGTACAAAACAGATTTAAAGTATAGAGTAAGTGAAAACACTGATCAGTAAAGTAGCAGGAAATGTTGGAACTTGTTATTTAACTACTTTACAGGAAGTCCTTTGCTATCTAAGTAAACAAGGTCTACAGGAAGGGTACAAGTCAGCTTTTCAGAACAACTGCCAGATAGATTTTCACTCCAGGTTTTTCCTCTGCTCATTCATCAACATCAGAGAGAGAATTCCATCAGCCAAATTAGGCCTTGGGTGTGTTTGAACAGTTACAATATCAAGATTATGCTGTCAAACTGTACACTGGGGCAGGATTTAGGCCTAAGACAGTTAAAACAAATGAGCCAAGAATCTCTCTAGTAGAATCCTACTTCCATATACAAGTAGGTGCTACCTTGAAAACACCACTCTTGACTATAACCACTCTTCGAAGTGTTCCACTTAGCCCTAGCAAATGCTAATTAATACCTGATGCTACACAAAAAACATCCTGGCATGTTTTTCAAACATAAACAAATAGGAACTCTACCTCCAAGTCTTAACTGAAAGGTATTTTACACAGGCCTTTAACTATTCCTTACACAGTTCTGTGACCTGCTCACCTGTACCATCCTGCCCTCAAGCCCTGGCCAAGAAACTCTTGCCACCTAGACATCAGCCTGTTCATAAAAAGCTGAAACCGAGGATCTTCCCCACATGCTTCCTAAGCAAAGATACTTTCTGTCCTCTGATATTGCTTCAGTTAAACCTTCTCATGGAAGAGGCACAAGAGGTTCGCTGACCTCTGCAGAAACACCATATTCAGTAAGCAAGTCAGTGCTGACACCTCTTCCCGCTGGCATCACCAATCCCATGGCCTCAATGCACAGGAGCAACGAGCAACAATCTCATCAAAGGCAGGGCTGACAAAACTCTTACCTAACTGGAGCAAAACACAGCCCTTCCCAGCCACCCCCTGATGCAGCACAAGGTATGACAACTTGACATGCTAAACTCTTTCTTAAGATCACTAATGGCCCTCTGTGGTACTGGGTGTGGAAGGAGCTCCAGGACACTTGAACTGTAGCACTGACTCGTGCATACAACGCAATAGTTGCATCCACTCAGCCTTTAAAATAAACATTTGACAACACTCTGTTGAACCTTTTAGGCAAGAAAATCTTGAGGTTGCAACTTCTTCAAACAGGAAATTTATTTTGCCAGGATAAATAAAAGCAGCAAGCAGTCAAACACTGTCTTTGATTGTCCACAGCAAGTAAAACCTAGGATGAAACCTGAGCACTGTCTATCCCTACGATCATAAGGTCATCATTAGCACTTGCAACCGTGAGGTCATCTGACTGGTCGTATTATTAGCCACCTTCAGCAGCACTGTCACACTGCCAGACATAAGCACAGTCATTCAAAGGGTCTTCCACTGATCTGCAATTGGATTAGCAAGAACTAAACAGATTATCGAGTCAAGTACTGGGATGACACAAGTTTAATCAAAAGCTAAGAGGCTTCGGCAGACGACCAAAATTTTTCATAATACAACACAAGTAATATTTTAGCAGAGGGAGCCAGCTGGACCAGGTGTACTGCTCTACGGGAACTGTCACTTCACAGAGCCACAACAAAATCCAGCTTTATTCAGACCCTGTGCTCTGCCACTGCTGCCACAAGTGAACACTAAATCGTGGGTTTAACGTAAATCATGTCTCAATAACAAATCTCGAGAGACAGAAAAACACTCCTGCAAAGGGGTAAAGACATTCTTCTCCACTCTATTCTTGCAGAAAAACCTCAAGATAATTCTGAGCTAGCTGATCAAATACACCTGAGTCCAACTGCCCTGCTAATGCACAGAAGCTGCAGCTATATCTAGTACCAGATGTGCCACTAAGTGTTCTTGGAGGTTGTAACACCCTGAAGTGAGCAGCAGGGTAGGCAACACAGACGCTAATTATGGTCTGTACTGACAGATGGGAAAGCAGACATCTAAAAGCAGAGGCACATCAAAAACAAGGAGGAGATAGTAGACAACATTCTTTTGGAAAAGTTGCTGGAATCTTGACTTTGGTCAGAAATTTTTCATATTCAGAGTACAGGCCATTCAGTTTAAAAATCAGGAACAGGTTGCTGGCAGCAACTCTGCTTTTTTCCAAGAAGGTCAGGTTATTTTTCCCTGGAGCATATGATATATGACCTCCCTCCCTCCCTCTGTTACTAGAATACTTGCAAGGGTCAAGCCTGAACTTTGAGTAGTTCTGAAAGGAGGAGGTAGCAGGAAAAAAAATTAGAGGAAATAAAGAGATTCCTTTTGACTTTTACAATTGGTTTGGGGGCCTTCCACATCTTCAAGGCTGAGGCACTCAAAAGCCAACCCTCCTAATTCTTCCACTGAAAAACAAAACTTCTTCCAAAAAAACATAGTAGCTGGCAGAATCAAAACCACTCTTGATCAGTTTTAATAGCCTCATGCAGAGATCCAAATCAGGTCTGCAAGACTAGAGGCTTTTGTTCTTCAAAAGCCTTTCAACACAAGTTACTGTAGGGCAACAGGTTGCAGAAGTTCCAGTTAAGCATTCATTTACTCAATAGAGAGTAACTGGAGATGAGTTACCAGTGAAGGAGGTAAGTTTGTCTTTGCTGTAGGATAAAAGCACACAAGTGAGCTGTTAGCACAAGTCTACTGCACTGCACCAAGTTCCCACTACCTTATCTCCAGTTATTTGTGGCTCCATACCCTTATTTCTTGTAAAAGAAGAGCTCACACCTCTCCATTCTGCTGTGGAAGGCAGAAGTGTATCAGAATTACAGCTGTAGACAGAGTTCAGCTGTCTGGAGACATATCATAAGAAAACCTTAGTTCTGCCACCTATGAACTCTTCAAATTACAAAATGTGTCTGAGGACAAAAGCAGTTATCTTAAGTTATACTTCTGGGGTCTTTTTCCCCTCTGGTGCTGGATTTTCTCATTAAATACTTAATGTAATACATACTAAAAAAAATAATTAAGACAATTCCCTCCACTGTGCAAAAGGATGATCTACCTTGATGCATATGCATATATGGAGTTCCTTTCCTGAAATGTATTGTCTCCTAGTTCATATCCTAAGTTGACTCCCTTGCATTTCCCCCTCACTTAAAAGCCAGTTCAAGAAGGACAACTTTTGGAATGTTCAAGTAAAATCATTTAAAAATAACTGATTTCATAAAAAGAAAAAAATCCTGAAGGCACGTTAGATCCCACGGCCACCCTGAACAGCCAGATAGTCAGACAGGCAGAGGAGGGTGGTATTTATAGCAGCTTCGGAGCACAAGGCTTTGGGAGTTGTGTACGCGCCAGAACTGCCGACCATTTCTCCAATAGGTGACACCACTCCATTGCTATGTACGCTGCTCCTCCAACAGCGGGGCACGAGGGAGGCACAGTCAAGAGAGAAATTTACTACCAAATTCCTTAAATGAAAGGAAAATAATGCTGTTCTATATAAAGATAACTGGTCCTGCCTCTTAAGTATTTGTCTGAGGCTTCAGGTTAGACAGCAGCCAGCTCTGAACACTACTCCATGGGTTAGCAAGTCATATATACATTTAGAAAGGATTTCAGACACTTACCTGGACTTGCTGGGGTTGCTGAACCTGTATCTGCTGCTCTGGCTGAGTTTGCTGCTGCATACTGGTTGTCACAGGACAAGCAAGTTCAAGCAAAGACCCAGCCACCTCTGTGCTGTCCGTGTAAATGCAGTTGCCACCCTGCTGATACACCATTGTGGTGGTGGCTGTCTGCTGAAACTCCTGCAGAGCTTCTGGCCCCTTGGAAGCCAGGGAGTCCAGAAACTCCTTCATCCTGTGCTGGGGGATCGTTCGTGCCTTCACACGGACGTATTCTTCAAAGGAAATGGTGTTCTCCAGAGAATTATTCATATTGCAAGGTCCTCAGGGTTCCTTAAGGAAAGAGAAAGTAAAAGTCTTAACTACAGCACTTTGTTGACGCAAGGATATTCCTAACTCCAGTAACTAATTTCTCATGGCAAGTACGGTATGAAAACTGGCAAACATGCACAGCCAGATGCCCAAGACAGATGCTTTAGTTTTATGAGGCATCTTGTGCTACTACACATTTCTCAGATTAACCCTTGGCAGCTCAGGGGAGTCTGAACGATACCCAGGTGTGACTGCAGAACTATTCACGGAGCTCACTGCCACATAAACTCTCCCAGCTCTGCACCTCACCCAGACTAGGCAAGTCCCGTACCAGACGAATCCAGTCGCACATTCCATTTGTTTGCAGCATGCACTATTAGCAAGAGAGGCTCAGAAATCAATATCTGTGGCCCTGCTTTGCAGGCACAGAGGTGGAGAACCGAGCAGTATGTTCTATCAGGCCGTGCAGGGCTATTCTAGGCAGCTAATGGGAAGCACAAGGGAAGAGCAACAGATGCAGCATTCAGCCCATCACTGTTAGGACTAGGGCAGCCTCATCGATTTGAATAGAACAAGCAAAAGGAGAGCACTGGAATCAAGAGATTCCTCAAATAGGGAACTACACACATGGAGAAGCAGAGCTCTGGAAATGACAAAGGTAAAGGCAACAGCATCATCAATTCTTGATCTCCTTTTAATATAGGAAGAGGTTAACATGAAACATGCCATGTATGAAGACAAAAGAGACAGAAGAAGTAGTCAGGTGATCAAGGAGGAAGTGAAAGCAAAGAAAAAACCACCACCACCAAGAATGACTCCACCTGAGAACATCAGACAGCTCTAGGGTATACTCTGACAGCATTCTTTTCTTATTGACTTATCTTGTTTAAACCCACAAATTGTTTTTGCAGTGAGTATACTGGTTGTTTCTAAGGCACTAATTAGCCTTGATAAAGCATAAATAGATTTGAGCTAAAACAGCATCAGATACTTAGGCAGTTGGGAAAAGAAATGAAACAGCAAAAGATTAGGACTAGTAGAGACGATTCAGCACTACTAGATCAAGCTGCATAAAGGAGGAAAAATTGACAGACATCACCATGTACATTATGACAGTAGTTCTAAAAAGAACAGGTAGAAAAGAAGAACTTTATGTATCCTTTTACCATGATTTAACAAAGTGGAACCAAGACAGAGATACGTGGGTGAATGTAAGATTGCCAAAGCCTGTGTGGAAAGGAGAGTTAGCTCTAGGCTTTCCCTGGCACTCAAGTAGACTACACAAGTCCAGCTCCAATCATCATCAAAACCTGGGAGAGCCGGAGTAAACACTAACCCCTTTTTGTGTTAGGTGTCAGCAGTCCAAACTCACAGCAGTTTTTGTTTACATGGAGGGTCATGGCTAGTGCATTGGACCAGGCTCACAGGAGAAAAGAATATCAAAGGTAAGGAGAACGCACATGAGGTAACTTACGTTCTATCTATAGTTGCTGGACTCACTAAGCTACATTTGTTGCTGCTTAAAACATGCAGAAATGTTTAGTAAAAAGCACCAGTTAACATTGTTTCCTTAGCAAATCCAACAGTTCTGTAAATATAACCATACAGAGGTTCCTGTAGAGCCCACCACTGCACAGAAAAACTCCTGCCTTTAAGAGACACTGATCTGACACATTTTTGAGGCAACTCTGGGTGACAGAGCCAGTTAAGACTATTCACTTCTCCAGGAGTAGTAAGTACTAAAAGTACTTTACACCACTATAGGACAGGTTAACCTTTTCCCAGGTGTGAAACCAAGGGAGAACAACATTGTTAATGCATCTGCAATGACTCAGACAAGACCTACACCAGGTCTTGTGTTTTGCATCTAACTGTGAAATGCTGTTACACACTCTGAGGCTGTAAAACAGATTTTGAGTGATTAACTCGTCCCAGTTTTCTACTTGGAACTTGCAAGTATTTGACTTCAATATTACAGTGAGGCTTTCAGAAGAGCATCATCATTTTGCATGTCCACCCTGAGGAGCACCAGCAGACACAGCTTTGAGAGGGAAGACTCTTCTGAGGAATAAGCCTCAAGGATGCCACGCTAAGATCCCAGACGTGAACATCACAAGTGCTGTTTGAGATTACAGGCTCTCTGACAGCCAGCTGCTGCTGAAAAGGATGGGCTCACCTCTCCCAGGTCCTGCCTTCTTCCTTGCTCCTGCATTGGTACTTATCATGTTGTAACAACTCAGTATCCACTTTCTGTTAATCTTATCAAAAGAAGAGAGCGGGGAGGTCAGCGGGGCCGCTGTTTCCAACGACAGCTAACCATTATCCCTCACTTCTGCTTTTGAAGTCCAACCCTTCTGCCACAGGCTGCTGACAGGTACATCATTCTCCTGCATAGCAGAGACCAGAAGCCACAAGAAACCCAGAAGCACAAGGAGCAAGCCCAAAGATCAAGGAGAGGTCCACCACCAAATCATCATCTACTTCTTCTAACCACCAGGAAGCAGAACAAACAGCATAAATTTCTTAGACACAAATCCTCAGCCCTCCTCAGCTGCTCCATCTTAATTAGTTCTTGTTAGCATCAAAATCAAGAGCCTACTAGGCCAATCTTCCCCTACTAGTAAATATTCCTGTGTCACAAGGAATCTCTCTTTTCCTCTCTCCTAGCATGGGAAAACTTGCTTTATATGTGCTTTAAGTTACCACACTGAGAGCCACTAATGCCTCAAACAGTGAGACTCCCACCTTAATCCCTGCAGCATTCCAAGTCCCAGGCATGCACCAGAGCTCCACTGCAACACAAGGCATCTATTTCTGCCCTTGAAGAGCAGCAGGATCTTCCCTGGGTTTTCTCCACAGCTCTCCTACTCTGGCAATCAGACAGGAGTTACAGGCCCTGCAGGTAACAGTGCAGCTGGACTAAGCTTGTCTCAGGGTCAGCCACATCAGTTTTAAGGCTGCTTGGGGTTATTTAACTAAAAGCACTGAACCACTCAAAACTGCACTTCACAAAACTCTACGCAGCAGCAGAGGTACCAGTCTGGAGGAAGACTGAGGAAAGTAACACTGCTCTCTCAGAAATTTTACTTATTAAAACTAAACCCACCTTATTTATGACATTTACATCACTTATGGCAGAAAATCTCTGTAAGGCTCCAGTGTGCATTCAACAGACTTTTGTAGGGCAACATATGCAGCTTGTTGCTGCAGTCGTCACTTTTACTGTTATTAAAACACGCTAATTTGTGCATTCCATTTATCCCACAGCCACACACTGGAAACTGCAAACACCCACCCTCATGAGATCTCAGCAGCATGTTTTTAATACTGTGTTTTTAAATAAAAAAGAGCATTGAGGCAATAAATTTCTCCAATCAAGGAAGGTAACTCCTTTCTGTGCAGCATAACTGCATTTTTTTCAGGAAATAAGTTCAAGAAACTCTTTGAAGATCATGAGCACATACGGTTAGTTGATAAAACTTAGACTGAGGTTACTGAAAACACACACACAACTTGCAGCATGTGGACAATCTCGACTCACCAGTCACCATGTTGCATGTATTTCTGCTGCTCTTGTCCTGAGCTCTTAGACTTGTAACGTTCTGGAGAAGACAGAACAAAGAAGCCCTTTCCATCCCCAGTTCCTCTTTCTTTATTAAAGCCACTTTATTTTTAATATGTATTCCATTAAGAAAAAAAATTAATCAGGAAACAAAGATATGATCATCCACACAGGTAGCAGCTCCTACTAAGGAATTGCAAGATGCCCAATTCCTAACCATCTTATCCCTCAGCCTGGTGAGCGTTACTGGGAACGAGTGTGTGAGCACATCTGTCACAGGGCGCCGTGCGGCGACAGGCGCAGCACGGCCGTGACACCGGAGTTACTGGCAGACAGAACTTAGAACAAGGCAGCAGCAGTGTACCGTATGCAGAGCCCCCCCCTGCTCCCCCCGCAGGTGTTGCCGGCGCTGCCCCGACACCCGGGACAGACAGGAACGCCACTGGCCGCTCCACCATCCAGCCCGGACGAGCGAAGCTCCGCGTTCAGCCCACGAACCATCGGCCGCAGCTCCACCGCTGCAATGCCCGGGCGGGGGACGCGCAGCCGGCGGGGCTTTCCCCGCCCGCGGGGACCCGGTGCTGCCCCGGCCACTCCCGCCGCCTTTGTTTCCCGGCGGGGCGGCCGGGCCGGGCCCGCGGGCGGCGCCGCGACACCGCCCCCCCCGCCCCGCCGGCGGGAGCCGTGACGGGGGCTCGGCGGGGCCGGGGCCGCCAAGGGCCGCGCACAGGCCGCGCCTGCCGGTGCCGCGCCGCCCGGGGAGAGGAGGAAGGGGCGGCGGGGACGCGCCCGGTGCGGGCTGGGGGACACGGGGACAGGGCCGGGGCCGCGCACGCGCGCGCCCGGACGGGCGCGCGCGCGGCAGGCGGGGCCGCCCTCCCCTCCCCCGCCGGGCCCGCGCCGCCCCGGAACCGCCGCCGCCTCCCCCGCGCCCGACGGGAGGCCCGCTCGGCCCGCCGCCGCCGCGCGCCTCCACCCGCCGGCCCAGCTGCGCCGCGGCGCGACCTGGCCCCGCCTCACCCCGGCCCCGCCGCCGCCGCCGCCTCGGCCCTGAGCCTTTCCCCCTCACAGCTCCCTGGGCGCCATCTTACATTCAACCCCCCGCAGCCAATCAGCGCGCAGCCCCAGCCTCGCGAGAGCGCGGCCCCTAAGCCCCGCGAGAGCTAGGCGCCCGGGTCCGCCCCGCACCTTAAAGGGGCCCAGCCGCGGGGGGGGCCGTGGCGGGCGTGGCCGCAGGGGGGCGCCACTGAGCGGGGGCGCACGCAGCCCCGGGGACACGGTGCGGGACACGGGGACACGTGTGGGGACAGGGACAGGCCCTGTCCGGAGCGCCGGGAGGACCCACGGTGACACCAGCACCGTGCGGCCGTTGGGCGGCGCCGGCCGAGGGTCCCCACGCGGCCGGCCCAGTGCTCCGCGCCGTGCGGGGGCGGCCCGGCCGCGACCCCCGCGCAGCGCCCGGGGCGAGGCCCCCGCGCCGCCCCGTGCGGGGCGAGGCCGCTGTGCGGTGGCTCTCCGGGGACCGCGCCGAGGATCGCGCGGCCGGTCCCGGCCCTGCCCCTGCCCCCGGCGGTACCGCGGGGCGGAGGGTCCCCGCAGGGACAGAAGGTGCCCCGCGCCGTGGGGCTGCGCCGGGGCTGCTTTAACGTGCCCATGTGCTCGGCGCGGCCTCTCCGGCCCCGGCCCCGCTTAAGGTGGCCCGGGGAAGCGGGCAGGGCCTCCCCCCGCCCACGGTAGGGCCAGTGGCACGGGTACGGGGCTCAGGCCACGGGGGGCACGTCAGTCCCGCGGGGGCAGCCCCCTGACCCCCAGCCCGGGGCCGGGCAGGGGTCACCGCGCTCGAGTCCACCTTAAGGGGGGAGGGCGCTCGGGCAGTGTTTGTACACAGCGCGCACACCCTGCTTCACCCCCTCGCACCCGGTCTGTCCTACCTGCACCCCCGGACCCTTCTCCATCCCACCCCGACTCCGTCGACCCCAGTCCCTCAGTGCCAGGCGGGGGAGCTGCAGCTCTCGTGGGGACACCAGTGCTGCACCGGCAGATGGGAGCAGCTTCCCAGCCCCAAGAACGGGAGACCCTCCCCAGTCCAGCACCCCAAGGCTGAGCAGGTGAACGGGAGGCAGTGACAGCGTGGGGACAGGGCTGGGATTTCCGTTTATTGAGGCGATGCTGTGGGGTGCCCCGGGGGGGCTGCATCAAGGCACGGTGGCACTGGGGGTGTGCGAGGACCCCCGGGGAAGCAACACCACGGTGGTGTGGCAGCAGCAGTTCCCTCAGGCCTTGCCAGGGTCCTCCTTCAGCGTCACCGTCCGGTTGAAGACCATCTGGGGAGAAACAGAGGGTCTGCTCAGAGCCCCATGGTTCCGAGCCCCATGGCTCTGAGCCCCACTGTCCCGGCCCCTGGGCTCACCTTCCCCTCCCTGCTGTCGGGATCCACAGAGAAGTAGCCCAGCCGCTCAAACTGGAACTTGTCGAAGGGTCGGGCAGAGAGGACAGAGCTGTCGACTAGGGCATTGTGCACCACACGCAGGGAGTCCTGGCAGGGGGTACAGCTAAGCCAGCACGCCAACCCCTCTGCCCCCTTCACAGCCCTGCTTTCCCTAATCCCTCTTCCACCCGGGGACACAGCAAGGCTTGCCCCAAGAGGGGTAGGGTGTACACAGAAGTGGGTGCCTCAGACGTGGGCACAGGAAGTCCCAGCTCACCCTGGGCACGTAGCCCCAGCTGCTGCCACTACTCACAGGGTTG